TCGTCATCGTCGTCGTCGTCGTCATCATCATCTTCACCCTCACCGGAGTCGCTACTCCCCTCATCACTGTTCTCATCCTTGCGGTCGCCCTCTGAGCCCTCTGATCCCCCCACTGCCGCCTGCAGGAGTGAGAAGAGACAGCGAGAATTTGTTCTGACACAGTGGTACTTTTTCTGTCATACAACAGTAAAATCCCCCAAATATAATCACTATATAAGTAATAATAATCTAAAAATATAATATATAGTAGCAATCACAGGGGACATTTTTCTGCATTGAGTTACATATTACAGTGTGTAACATTTAGGATGTATTGGTAGAAATGGAATATAATATTCATATAGGGACATTTTCATTACCTTAGAAACCTCTTCCATTGACTTTTACCACCATGTCTCTACAGTAGCCCAGAATGGACAAACACTGGCACAAGTGTAGGACCTTTTGTGTAGTTTCTCCTACACACTTAGAACAGGACGGTGAGGCAAGGGGGTTGTAATCTGCAACTACATCATTAGTACTTTTACTTAAAGGCCCAGTGTGTTAGTTTTAGAGGCATTTAGCAGTGTAGTTGCTGATTGCAGCACCCTTGCCACAACCTCCTGTTCCAAGTGTGTAGGAGGAACTGAAAATGCCCTTTCTAGAACCAGCGTTTAGTTTGTCTGTTCTGGGCCACTATAGAAACATGGCAGTAGTAGTCAATGGTGACCAGCAGATAAAAAAACATCTCATTCTAAGATAACAAAAACCCAATAATTTCTATATTCAGGTCATTATACACACACTTATGAATATTATATTCAATTTCTGGCAGCAAATCCTCCTAAATGTTACACACTGGACCTTTAAAGGACAGGTTCGCACTTTTTCAGGTCTGTCAGTCGCCTATAATGGCCATTAAGAGATCCCTTCCTAATGTGATTCTAATATAAAAGAGATGATCAGCAAAATCCACTAAAAAGTTTCTGAGTATTAAAAGTACCCAATGCAAAAAAATGTGCCCTCTGAATGTTAATATTTTATTAGATTACTAAAATAATTGAGAAAATCTCAACTGAAACAGATCTTTGTGGGTAATTTCCTCCAATATTCATCTCTGTGTACCTTTGACTCGTCTGGCTGTTCGGCCATCTTCTCGCTCGTCTCTTCCGTCTTTTGAGGCTGTGAGGTGGACGGCTCGGCTGCAGCGCCCCCTGGTGCACCGGGAGTGGCAGCAGCACTGGCATGCTCAGTGTTTGGCTTCAGATCGCCATCTGGAGAAAGAAGAACACACAGAATTACACACGAAAATACAGTGTATATATCCTCCAGCACAAACACACTGCACTCATCTTTTTCTTCATGTCTGGTTATGTCAAAAAGAATCTCAAGTTGTTTGTATTCGTATAATTTCAAAACAGGAAGTGTCTATTTCACACCGAGATAAAACAAAATCATATTCTTAAGGTTAAGCTGACAAAATGATCATGCTGTGTGGGTCAGTAAGAAGTGCCAGTGGGAGTGATTGTAGTGTTTGGAGATAAACATGGTCTACTAATGGAGGTAGAGGGATTCACACACACACACACACACACACACACACATCTGCATGTTAATCCTCAGGCTGATTGATTCGGGTTCGTTGAGGCCTCTCCAGACTCCCTGCAGCCCCACTTTGCTCTGCACCTCAGACTCTGAAGCACCTCATTACTCCACACTGTGACGCACAAACACACTGACTGAGAGGCCGCTGATTGTGGAGAACAACGTCCTTCAACCCCCAAACTGTCTACGACGATTAATACGCATCCAACCTCCAGCACAGAAACCTCTAAATGAAAAAACGTTACAATTGAATCGGAAGAAAATACCACCAAACAATCAAAATATTAATATTAAAAGGTGGTACAGAACTGTAGTCTCTTACAGATCCCCCCTCCAGACATTTTTAACAACATACACGCAGCGGGAACCCACAACATTCTAGTGGACGGCCTGCTCTACCTCCTGAGCCACAGCCGCCCGCCCGTCCCATTTCGATTTTTCAAGCAAAAATGTCAAACATTTGCTGGTTCCAGCTTCTTAAAATTCATTGTTTCTTTGTCATTTTTATCATCCTAAACAAAGACTCTTTGGCTTTTAGACTGTTTGTTGGACAAAAGACGACATTCAAACTTTGGCCTCTGTGAAATTATGATGTCACAAATCATGTTCATAGGCCCCACCCCTTAAAAATCAGCAGATGAATGTGAAAAACATCCTTCTAGTGTCAAAATCTAAAAAAAAGTAAAACAATTAACCTAAAAACAACTTCTAAAAATGCATCTGTTTTATAAACAGACATTTAAAAAGTAGACATTGTGGTTTTAGAGGCAGTTACATGGTTGTAATCCATATTTTGCTAAATATTAGCATGTTGACTTGAAAACCAAAAACATACGTTAACATGTTAACATTAGCCTCCAGCTTAGGCTGCTCAAGTCCCTACAAATTAGATGTTATAAAGAGTGATTTAACACAAAGACACATTTTATATGAAGAATTCTATCAATAGTATAAATGATGAAATGCTATTTTGACCTGCTGCTTATAAGAAAATGGCTTCCAAAGACAAACCCTTTTTATGAAGGTGAATCTTTTCCACTGCTGACACACAGACAAAACTTTAGATATTTTGTCCCATGAATGGTAAGCTATTTTGTGTTATGTAATGAGGTCTATTTAATTTTGACAGAGCTAGGCTAGCAGTTTCCACCCGCTTCCAGTCTTTGTGCTAAGCTAGGCTAATATCTCTGAGGTATCAGTCTTCTCATCTCAAAGTGGGCTTTTATCAGAATATCAGATCGTACCTTACAACTCACCTTCAGAGCGGCGGTGACGAGACTTGCTCTGTAATTTGCCCGACACCGGGACGTTCAGAGGCTTTATTTTGTTCTTTGCTGCAAATTAAGAGAATAAATCGCTCAAACAACACGAGTCCTCTTTATATCCACTGAGAAAGAATTCGTCAACATGCCTTTGACCTTATATTCACACACTGGACATTTTGTAGAAAGACTGGTAAAGCATAACAAACCTCCATAAAACCTTTCAGAGGATGCTTGAACTGAGCACAGGACCTCCAGGAAGTTGTCATTGCAACAATTAAAAGCAAACTACGTCCAATCACTGCAATGTTGCTGCAAATTTGACCAATCATTGTAGTTTCCTGCCACACGGCACCAAAGTTGCTTCCTTGTTTCTAGTTGTGATGATGCAGGTGTAACTTGTTTTTTTGAGTACTTTTCCCAAGTAAAATGTTCATAAGTTGCCTTTAATCTGTCTATATTTCACATTCATATTGAGAAGGTTGCACTTGTGAATCCATCACAACCAAATCCTCATGGGAGGTTTTTAACCAGATCCAAAGAGACGCAAAAACAGATTCTGTAAGAACGCTTTGATTATTACATAAAGTTTAACAAACAGCCAGTGTGTGAAAAGGGTCAGCGGTCCTCACAACAACACAGAAACAACTGGATGCAACATGCAAACATCCAACACAAACAACCATCCAATATCAAACATAACGACCATTTAAAACCACATCAGAAACACTGCTGGGACAGAAGCACACCGGACCAACAACGAAAACAACGACGACAACGACAACAACGACGACAACAATGACAACAACGTCTCACGTCTTACCTTTCCTCTGTACTGACCCCTCCCCTCTGACATCACCGTTAAAGGATGTCTCTGATTGGCAGAAATAAACAGACTAAATACCAAACTTCAGCCTCCTCTGAGACCTGTGACTTTTCAATCAATTCAATTCAATTTCATGCAGATACAATATGAGATATATGAAATATATGAAATATGTAAAAAATATATGAAATAGGGAAATAGGGCCGTTGTCCCTCTGATGTCCTCCGGCTGCTCCGCCTTAACTCTCTGCTAGTTAGGTGCTCAGAGCACCGGGGGAGTGTTACACTACTAGCTCAGGAGCTTTGAGCTACCGGAGGAGAAGTTTTCAGGCCTGGACAGGGAGGAGCGGTGCGAGCGAGCAATGTAACCGGGCTCAGCCGCTCCTGTGGCTAACGACAGAGGCAAAGACACCACTTGTTGTCGAGAGCTTTGTGAAATAAAACACTGCAGACAGACGACAAGCTGGCCGCCTTCTTGTTGGACGAGCAAGTAATATTAACTGGTTCTTATGTTGTTTCATATATAAAAATCTTGCAAAAATGTTGCTTTAAAAGGTGAATTACTGCCAACTTCTACTGTATGCTGGAATGTGAAGTGCAAAGTGGACACAGAAAAAAAATTAATTAATGGAATTCATTTTAAATATCTCGATATATCAATATATTGAGACACCCTGATTATGAAACGAGAACTTCCTTTTTTAATGCTGTTCGAGGTCAGACGATGAAGCTGGAAAATCCTGTAGTTTAATTATTTTTAATCAAAGTGGTGCAACAGTCTTGCTTTGTGTCAGTTAGCCGACGTTAACTGCTGGGAAACTTTGTCGACGGATGTGTTTTTGGTTTTTAATTACTGACATGTGACATTACATGTGACTGCAAGAAAGAACACGAGAACTACAATCACCACAACACAACACGACAGGAAACAACAGCGAGGCGACAGCTTGTTGTCGCTCTTACCTCGTCTGGCTTTCCTCAGGCGGGGGGTTTTAACGGCCCCTCTAAGTGTCGCCTCTAGGATGGAAACCCACAGCAACAATTTTAACTTCTTATTTTCCATCATCCTGCACCTTGTGACCACTCAAACTGACAGAAATATCAGTAACTAGAGCCACTTCCCTTCAACCTTCGTCTAATTTCTACTTTCTACTTTAACAGACCAACTTCAAACCTGATATTTACTTGAAACTAATGTCTTTTCTTATCTTTAATTATCTTAAAGAACTACTGTCTCACTGTCAACATGTGAATTTAAGCACATTTATGTGGAGTGTAGGTATCTATGATCCATGTTTAATGCGTATGATGGCCCCAAGACAAATTTCTCTGCGGGACAATAAAGGAGATCTTATCTTAGAAGTTCGAGCTGTCCAAAATATCTGGACATGATGTGATATAATAAGATAAGATAGACTTTATTGATCCCACACTGGGGAAATTCACTTGTTACAGCAGCTCCAGATACAACACAGCAGATAAGAACAAAGAAATATGCATTAAATGACAAAATAAAATAGAAAAACACATGATATAATGGAAAAAATAGAATTTGAGTTGTATGTACACAGTTACCTACAGGAGAATCTCTCTAATAAGTCACCATTTATGATATTTGTAACTTTACTCTCTGAAGAAACTAACTCCCTGTTGAATCATTAACAGGTGTTAACAAAGGGTAATAAGCCAACTGCAAAAGTTAATAAGTAATTGTTAATTAAATATGTTATCTTACATTAATTCGAGTCTGCTAACTTCTGTGAATGTTAATAATAAATGAATTCTGGTCCTCATTAAGAGCTGTAATTTTAACGTATAACTGATTTATAAAGCATTATTAGTGCCAAAAACTCTTAAATCATAAAAGGGGAGAAAGTACTTTATTATTTAAAGTGTTGTACTGATAGAGGATGATGATTAATAAAGTTCTCCCTACCAACCACAGGGGCTGACTGTAGAGGCTTTAAGTACAACTTTGACTTTTTACTTGTATATGATGTTTTACAGTTTATACAAATACAGCTGAAACCATCAGTCGATTAATCAATACGTAGATTGACAAATTTTTAATTGGCAACTATTTTCATTATTTTTATCATGTAGAAACATTTCACGGGGCTTTTTCCCCTCTGAATTATTCAGAATAATTTTGAGGTTTGGGACCGTCGGTTTGCTTGGTAATTGTGACGACATTTCCCACTAGTTTCACAATTATTACAAAGCAAACAATCAGTCGATTAATGGAGAAAATAATCAGCAGATTAATCCACAAAGAAAATAGTTCTTCTCCAAACTCCAACAGTAAAATCCTGCTTTTACATGAATGCATGACTCCTAATAATCTAATAACATCATATACAACAGTAGAACAGCCACAGGGGACATTTTTCCTTCATCAAGTACTTTTACTTTTAATACTTGAAGTACTTTAGAGTATTTTTCCTTAAGTAAAAGGTCTGAATGCTTCTACCACCGTCTGTTGCACCACATCTAAATTTATGTAACTGATCAGAAACCTGATTTAGTTATCAGGAAGTTAAATCTCCTCAGGTTCAGGTTTCAGATGCTGACAGTTTACCACAGTAATGAGATACAATCCAGCTGCACAGAGCCGCTCTGGGCTCCGGTCCCTCTGCTCTGCACTCGTTCCACAGAGATAAAGAGCTTGGTCTGCTAGCATGCTGGCTCTTATCCAGCTTTTATTAGCCTGTATTGAAAAGCTGATTAAGGATCAGCGATGGCCGAGTGCTGCGAGAGCGAGGAACAGCGGCCCGGTGAGTTCGAGGACGGGCTGAAGGTCGCCACGGTTCATCGCGCAACCCTGACGTACAGGAAGGAGACAGAGCGGACGGACCTGAGTCACCGGAACATTTAATTGATTAGTTGGTCGACAGAAAATTAATCGAGTGATTCTTTCAGTGATTTTTCAATTAAAAAACACCAAAAATGTACTCAGGTTGGGAAGACTTGATGCTTTTTACTCATATTTGATCATAATAACATTGAGTTACATTAATTTGGAGGACAGTTTTATCTTTTATGTGTGACACACAACCTGATGTAAAAACCTTTTTAGGGGTAGATTTAGTAGTTTGTCTCCTTTTATATTTCTGCAGCCTGCACTTCGAGAACCCGGCTGCAGATCTGAACCTCCGTTGGTTCTGGTTCTGGTTCTTACCTTCTCCCAGAGGGTCCAGCGTGTGGATCATCAGCTGGAAGATGGTGCTCCTCAGCGAGGTGTTGTGGAGGGAGGCCGAGCTGCCGCCTCGCTGCAGGACAGGACGCACCTACGGACAAAGCAGACAGAAATCAGTGGAAAACTGTGAGGGACTAAAGAAGGAAGAGCAAGTAAACTGCAGCCAATTAAATCATCTGTGTTCATATCTGCACTTAGAGTAGGCGGGGCTTAGACCAGGAGTGGGCGGGATTCATCAGAAGTTGCTCATTTAAGCCTGAAATTGATCTGGACTGATCAGAAATTGCTATATTTATTAGAAAACTATTTACAGCTTCAGAGCAGTGTTTTTGGAGCAACAGAACTATTTACTTCTTTTTTTTTCAAAAACTAAAGTTACACGGTTTAATCTGATGATCATTGCATATCTTTGGTTAAAAAAAAACAGCATTTAAATCGTTTGCAATCTGCAGTTTTAATTATAAGACCCACTTAAATGGAAAATTACCAACTTCAACACTAAAATAAGTAGAAAAGGAAACTAATGTTTGCATAAACCTTCATTAAAAAGTGACTGTTAGGTGACCTGTTAGCTTTAGCTTGTACAGGCATTAAGTGCATATTTAAGACCTCTTTTACAGGGTTTTCATTTTCATACATGTCAGCTGGAAATAGGGGTGGAAAATAACTTTAAAATCTGGCTAGAAACAAGAAGCCACTTTTGTCTAAATTACTCAGAACTGTGAGGGCAAATCAGCCACCGTTATTTTGATGTATGTGCCGTGTGAGCACAGAAAGCTAACTAGCACAGCAACAATAATTAAAGAGGGGCGGGGCTTAACAGTCAAGATAACAGTCTGTAGACCTGGTTCAATTTACCACCGTTTTAAGACATCAAAAATGCTGCAATAAACTGTAAACAAGAACTTTTAGAGCCTTGGATGTAAAATAACTTACATAATGAAGAAGTTATTTTTCAGTCCAAAGGTGAAAGAATCTCTGGGATTAAATATCTGCCTTTATAAGGAAAACATAACAACTGACTGAATAAATAGAAAATAACTTGTTATTGATTCACCGTCAATGTAACTTTTCATACCCGAAGTCTCGTCCGGTCCTCTTGTGAATCCGATGGCGGTTTGTTGCACTGAGGGCTGCTCGGAGGTGGTTCAGCTTCTTGTTTGGATTTATCTTCAGCTTTTGGTGCAGGAGGAGCAGCGGCAGGAGGAGCAGCGGCAGGAGGAGGTGGAGGAGCTGCTGGAGCTTCACTCTCCTGTAAAGTCAGTCACAGCTTAAATCAGCTAGTTACATGCAGTTTTATTTCATTGAGAAAGAGTGAACAGATTCATACAGTCAGTGACAGATTGCAGACGTATTTACTCAGATTTTTATCTCCAAAAATCAAACATGTTTGATTTATCTGCTCTGGAGCTCCGCCTCAACCAAGATGCTGACTGTGGAGGATGTAATCGCTGGGGGTTGATGGGTGGACGAAAGGCTATACAGTAATCCAATCTACTTGCTATGGAATTAACACTCGTATGGAGTTTCTCGCCATCAGCAAAAGAGCATGTCACGACCCTTAAGCTTTAAAGTAGATCCTGCTTTATTACCTCATCCCGACACCTTCATTATTTCTGTGCTCACTGTATATGGTGCATATTGCTAAACTAATATGGTTCACATTAACACAAACATGGACTTGAGTAGGAAGGAAGATCTGTGTCTCACTCAGTCGCATTTAAAACCTGATCTGTTGTTGATTGGCCACTTTATTGTAAAAACAGACATGCTTACTGGTGGCACTTATGGACGCTTACGTGCACACCGACAGAATATCGTTTTATCTTTTAACCATTTTTTCTTTCTCCTTATGAGACTGGTGCGAGTCTCCCAAGTCAGATTCAACCAAACTCTCCTAGCTGCACAAACCTGATGAACATCACCGCATGATGACACATTTCTTGCACAAAATGCTACATAAGGCAACCCAGTCTGCTCAAATTAAATGCGTAAAAAGAAAACTTTTATGTTGTATTAAAAAGGATCAGTGTGTAGGATTAAGAGTTCATCTATCAGTGAAACTACTGTGGCCACAAAACACAAAAGGCCCTAAAACCAAGTGTTCTGGGCTACTGTAGAAACATGGCGGACTTCGTAGAAGAGGACTCGCTCCCTCTGTAGATTAAAAACAGCTCATTTTCAGGTGATTATACACTAAAGAAAACATACATGTAAATATTATATCCCATTTCTGCCAATAGATCCTCCTGAATGTTACACACTGGAGCTTTAAGGGACGTCAGATTGAACAGGAAAATATGACTACAGCTGTGATAGTAGGTGATGTCAGGAATTTATCAGGTGTTACTATGATAGATATATGTTCCCTCTAGATATTGACTTACATAAAAGGACCCTGAGGAAGCTGCTGGACTGATAAAATTGTCAAGTCAAATCAAATTTTTATTGTTCTCAGTAAACTGGCAAGATGTGATCAGAATATTAATTTTACATTAAACGTACAAGTAGATTTTAAATTGGTTACAAAAACAGTCTCAGTTCAATACCAATACCTCTATATGACCAACATAAACAAACAGGACCATCAGTGAACACACTGGTTGTTCCTATATAGTTATTGTTAACGCCTGCTACTGGGTCAGATTCCCCTTGTAATCAATGAAACGAGGAAACACTACCTGTTTTGTCCACAGGGGACGCCAGTAGCCGCCACTCTGCATCATCACCACGTTTTACACGTAACATGACATGGGATGAATTAATGCTCTGGCATGCAAACCTGTGGAGAAAGGTAGGAGGTCTGGACCGCGAGGGGATTTTGTTCTTAAGAGAAATTTGCTCACAATTCTGTAAAACAGATTTGTTCATAGGAGTGAGTTAATTGTCTCTGCAACATGATCCTTAAAGCCCTGTGTATATTCCTGTAGATTCAACAGGTTATATTCTCTGAACACATTCAGGAGACTAAACACTCAAAAAGTATTGCATTTATGGAAAACTAGATGATTAAAAACGGATTATTGGAATTCCTGGAGGAGGGATTTTTGAATTTCACTGATTCTGGACGCATTAATGTGGCAGCATGCTCTGGGTTGTGACTGAAGGGGCGCACACTGACTGCAGACGTGCTTCAGGCTAATTGCAGAATGTGCTGGTGACACTTGAAATACTGAAACACGGCTCTGCATGTTAATTACAGGCTCAGACATTCACTGCTCTGTCAGCTGCAGAAGGCCGTTTAGTCTGCAGGCGTTCTGCAGAAAATAAGCAGTTTTAAAAAACACATAATTTGCTTCTTTTAAATGAAATGACGGACACACACACACACACACACACACACACACACCCCCCAGGGCTGTGACAAGAAACCAAGTGACATTTGAATCACTTCATCACTGTGACGCGCAATCTGTGACACCTGGAGTCCCTTTCTGTTCAGCACCATCAAAGGATTTTACACAAATACAGACTGTCACCTGCTCAGACCCACAAATCACTGTCCCTCTTTCACTGTATCCGAGCAGACGACAGTCCCAACTGCGAGGAGATGAAAGCATAGAAAATAAATTGCGTATAGATGGAAGTCGGCGTGGGAACAAGTGCTCTGCACAGACATTTGTCTGTATCCAGCTTTTGTTGTGTCTGATTGCTTTGTTTTTTTTTTCCTTTCTGCACAGTGAAATAGTCTAAAATCAACACCTGTTAGAGTTAAAGCAACACTTTCGGTCATTTAGTGCGTCTCTGAATACGTCACTTCCAAGCTCAGTGACGTAAATCTTTAAAATAGGCTCTCACATTCAGTTTAATTTATCAAAAAAGGCGAATTTCCTAAAACAAGGTGCTCAATGAAGTTTTAAACAAACGTTACTCAGAGAGGAGCAAATCGTGCATTTGTTGAGGACTATTTTC